CATTTTGTGTTTCATGGCTGAAGCTTCAGTAAATATGTGGGGTTGGATAGGTCTACAATATATATAAAATCGAGGGAAATTGAAGAACTTTCAGTTTTTCATATCTGCCAGAAAATGGTGAATTATTGCGATTTTTACAGACAAGCTCTCTTAAAACTACAATTGTCTCGAACATTTTATGGAAATTATTAATAAGTAATAGCATGGTTTCTCGTGAAATTTGGATAGACTCCATGCGCTCGTGAGTTTTTGAAAAACTCACTCGTGCATGTTAAATCCAAATTGCACTCGAAACCATGCTATCTATACCTATGGCTATATACCAAAATTACATTAATTAACTATTTTATTAAATTTGATAATGCAGAAAAATAAAACTATGCATATTATAGAAGTATTCATGTGTTTTTATATCCAAGAGTTATATTTTGAAGAATTTATGTCATTCGATGCTTCGTTTTTTATACATGGGCGTCTGAAATTCCCAGCCAGTGCATTTCACGATTTTAAATTTAATAAGGAGTAGATAGGGAAAAAAACAAACTTTTGCAAAATAAAATTTTGTGTTGACACTTTTAATTAAAGGAAATCAATAAAAGTGATCGCTTACCGTTATTCTACAATAATTTATTGAACAGAATTTCCATGGGTATCTCATTTTTAAAAAAAAAACGATTTGCACCTTGGAACGGCGTTTTCCCTATCTTTTGCTATGAAATTTCGGCGACGGCACTGGCTGGGAAATTTTGCGTGGCGCGTGGAACGCGTGACACAAAAAGTGAGGTTATCGAGTGTCAGTTTCCTCCCTGTATATCTCTCCTCTGTGCTTTTAGTGACATTACATTTATAACAAAAAGTCTTGTCCAATGCTTGTGGTTTTATTATTAACTCTATTGATAAATTCAAAATTTGCCGCGAATTTATCATAATGATAATGTGTTCAAGAATTTACTCATATAGTAAATTCAAAGGTGGAGCTCATATTGTGTGGGCTTTAGTTATAGTCTGCTAGTTTGTTAGCTTGTTAGTCTGCTATAGTTAGCTTGTTCGGAATCATAAGCTTTGATATATATTCAAAAATTGTGGCGCATTTGTCTTGCGCATGCTCCAGGGCACTGCACTGTAATGTTATCCATTTTGCAGAGTGGTACATTGGGAGACGAATTATATTGTATAATAATGATACAATAACATTATATAATGAGGATCTCCCAGGGGTTTTCTGGGACATGGGAATAAAGGAACAAAGCCAAAAAGACCATGGTGAAATCTTTGCGTGGAACAAGAAAACAAAGGAAAAATTTCCAAGCGAACAGCAAAACACCGACCCCTGCTGGGAGACCGTCATTATATCTTCACGCCGCCGTGTAATATCCTCTCTATATAATATGGTGCCACATTGTTCATATATTATATAATAGAGAGTGAGATGTTGAAAAATACACAGTGAAATATTTTCTTTATCTTCACTAGTGCAGATATCGATCACGTAACTTTTTCCAATTTGCTTTTGAGTGTGTTGCTTTATAATAAACAGAACATTACACGGTGGCTTGAAGATATCACTTTTACCTTCTCGTGTTGAAAACAATAGATAGCTTAAGATCTACGATGTCGACGTCAGCTAGGACGTCCGGGCTAAGCAGAGGACTGGGTCTAGGACGTCCTCCTAAATAAGTAGATAGCTCAATATCTAACGACCTCAGATATTTAGGGCGGCAAGCGGAAGTAAATTGGTAATAGTTTTTGAAGTGTGCATGTGTCTCTCTCAATTTCTCGTCGTCTACCAAACGTCGACAACCTCACAACAATACTTTTACCGTTGTGTATGCAAGAGCATAAAAAACGGTAATGGATTCACACCTCTCTTTTAAATTCATTTTCAAAAGGATGTAAATATCTATAGTTTAAATGTCGACGTCGTGAATCTTAAGTGGAAGTTTATTTATTTAGCACGACGTCCGAGTCCCAATCCTCTGCTTAGCATAACGTCGTAGCTGACGTCGACGTCGTAGATCTTAAGCTATCTAATATTTACAGCACTCACCCGCTGCGCTCGTTCGTAAAATATTGTTTTCACCACTCGAAGATAAAAGTCATATCTTCGCGCCGCCGTGTAATATCCTCTCTATATGATATGGTGCCACAATGTTCATATTCTTAAAATTGTATACCTGAAAAAGTAGCATATTCTCAATTATTATATTTGATTATTCATATAATGTTACAGCTGGGGTTAAAATGAAAACTTGGTACGGCATCAAGGAAAATGACGTTAAAAGATTATACAACGACCCTCGTTATCCAGACAACCCCGACAAGGTGAAAATACTTCCAAATTTTCACACAGGTCTAAACATCGCTGACAACTATGGAAGCATCCTTTCGGCATTATATCAGGTAAAGCACTATCAAAAGGCTTACATGCAAATGTATATAGTAAGACATGTAGGACGCATGTTGGGAGATTTTGCGTCCGTAATACAGTGACAGTATCTTTGATAGAATAAATTGGTAGAATAAAATTGATAGAATAAATTTTTCCGAAAATTTTTTTTTCTGAACAACGACCTCCCACCCCACCCCCCACCCCCCGTCGCCAAAAAATTTCGGTCAGTGTACCATTTTAGGGGTAAAAAAAATTTTCCGGAGTAAAAGAATTTTCCGGACGAGTACGTTGATAATACTTTCCAGGGACTTTATTTCGTTTTTCTATCCCTAATTTCGGTACTTAAACCAATAAAACAGATATCTTGTCCTTCGCGCGGAAATATTTAACACACAAAAAAGACTGGAACCCAACAAAAATTTTTCAGGGGCCCCCAGCACCTCGGGGCCCGGGGGAATTCCCCCCCCCCCTCTGCCCCCCTCTCGGCGGCCCTGGTTTTGGAGTATCTTTGGTTTTGCTTTATACAATATATCGTATTCGCATTAGGATCCGTTCCGCAAAATGCATCTACTAGCTGTGAACGATGATGTATTACTCAGCCACTCCTCCGTAAGTAAGCAGACAGGGCGCTAATTAAAGACACCCCAAATTTTGGGGTGTCACGTGACCAGCGTGTACCAGGGTCTTTGTTGGAGCGTGTTTGGGAGGAGATCAGAAGTAGAGAGGAGAGGCTTTCGAGGTTGGAATTTTCACACTTTAGTAGAATTTTCTTTAGGAAAAGGATAAGATCTCTGACAAGCAATCGACTGACCTGTACTGCGCCCTTTGCATGAAAGTTGTGAAACCGCTTAGCGATTAGTGTTATGTTAATTAAAAGAAGGGTCTATGCACGCTTGATCCTTGGAAGCATACCCTGCACGGACTGATTTTACAATTTGTTTTACGAATTTCCGACACCAATGAAAGCGATATTAAATATATTAAGCAATGACGGTTCGATTCATGGAAGCATCATTTTCAATAAATTAAAAATTACAAGCACGTGAGTTCGTATAGTGTTATGACGTTATAGCAAACAGTTGGGCAACTAATTGCAATAAAGGACGATTATGCATGAGGACGCAGTACAGTACAAGTAAGTAATTAGAATCTATGTGTACAACAATAAATTTAATTGAAATTGATATAATATAAAGTAATGAAATATAAACTATAATATGATAATATACAATATTTCGAAAATATTAATTTAAATACGGCACAAGAATACATAAAATAAATCATACATTTATAATGTTCATACATTTTTAGGGGGCTTGAAGTTACCCTGTTTAGAAAGGACGAAGCGTTGTTGCATGCATGTTCAAGTATAATTTATGTTCTAGCTAAGAAATATCTTATAATTCTAATGATTTTCTGTTTAACATGTTCTTTAGCCTTTGCAGACAGGCAATTATACGTTTTATGTTGCATGTGACAACACATGTGAGGTGTTTTGGGGAGAAACGATGGAAGGCGGAAAACTAACGAAGATAATTTCTCTCAGAATGTCTACAGGATATCAAAGGTGGAAGTAAGATAGAATTTCATAGAAAGATAAAACATTTCATACTTCTTCCAGCAATTAACTGTTTGACCATTTTTTCCAATTAAACTGTACTCAAAACAATTATATTTTATGTTCACGTTTTCTTTTCATTTCATTTCACTCTAGTAAAACGCCAAAGCAAAAGTCTCATCCAATTTATATGGTGAAAGATATAGATTGTATAGGATTGAAGCAACATTAAAGGAAGGTGTGAAAGCCGATTATCTCACTCTGGCTATGCAACTACCCAGTGGTGAATTTCTATAATCTATTCCATCAGGACAACTATTCTCTATTTTGTGACTTTCATGAATTGTTACATACACTACTAGCCATTGCTTATCAAGATATAATGGTCTAAACGGAAGTCATTTGTGAGTTTTTGTCAATTTTTCAACTAAGTCATTTGTCAGGTTTTCTTCAAGTTTATTTTGTGCACGGTCACGGTGATTGACCTCGTTGTAATTTCGTATGGTGTAAGTAATAGCATGGTTTCGAGTGCAATTTGGATAAAACATGCACGAGTGAGTTATTCAAAGACCTCAAAATAGCACAGGTCCGAGCGAGGAGTGTTATTTGAGGTCTTTGAAAAACTCACGAGTGCATGCATGTTTATCCAAATTTCACGAGAAACCATGCTATTACTTATTAATAATTTACATAAAAATAAAATACATCAGCTTTGTCCCGTAACAATTATAAGTTCTGTTGACCCATTGCTGTAATTTAGCTATCACTTTTATTTCAATATTTTTCTTATTTTCATTATTTTAAAAAACTGTTCCAACTTTGGAAATCACAAAATTTAATTTGCTGTAGGATGTTTTAACAAAGACCAGCAATGACATAGCATGCCAAAATTTTATTAAGTGGATAACATTAGTAAAGTAGCTTGAATTGGCAAAGCATGCCTTCAAGTATATGAGATATTCCGAGTATTTCAGTTCAGGACAAAAATAAACCATCTCTCTATACGAACGACATTTTCAAACGTGCACGCCCGCAAAAACAACGGGCGCAAGTGGTGCGAAACGCGGACAAAAAATGAACAGGGGATGAAAGAAAGTCACCAAACTTTTAAGGTGTCCACCTTGATTAGGCTTGTTTACAAAACATTGTAGCATTCCATGGCGATAGGAGTACTAAGTATTCGTTTTTGTATTTTTTTGTTTCTCTGTGGCTTATTCCTATTGTTTTTTTCCTGACGGGCGCCAGTATTTCGTGTTACCAAATTGGATGTTTCTTTTCATTTTTTACAAGTTCAAGTAAATTTGATAATTTTATAATTTTTCATTGTTGGGCACGGATATGTGGTTGCATTCCCTGTACAAGTGTATGATTTAAATACTTAGGCAGATCGAGAAATGACATATTTTAAAAGCAAGTGTGTGCATCTAGGTCATCAGCCAATCAATTACTGAATGAGGTTAAGCAAGATATGACGTACGAATTATCAAGTCGGACGTTATCAACCGAAGCCGCGAAGGCTAAGTTAATAACACAAACTGAGGACTTCATATTTCTTCATATCTCGCGGAAACTAAATTCAATAAATGTTTCATTATTTATTAAAAGATCAATGAAAACACATCAGCACCTGTAGATTCAATCCATCGAAATAATGACCAGTTCTTCTCCCATATGCAGAAAATCTTTCCTTTCTTCTTTCTTTTGATATTCATTTTTTATATTTTACAGTCAAATCCGGTGTTCTGTTGCGGGCAACATTGCAATATTGTCACGCATTATTGATCGGCTGATTGCTCTAGCAAATTGTAACCGACGCGAAGTCGTGAACAAATTGTAATTTTTACGTCCAGTAACAGTATTGAACCATTAACTGCAAAATTCAAACGTTCATAATATGATTTGCAAGCAAGTTTGTAAGTAAAGCCCGATTGGCTGCTACTGATCGAGTACAAAATAAGCCAATGAAATACTTGGCATCTGACATTTGGGCAGAACCTATCGACAAATTGTCGACACGCCCAATAATTGCAACTGTATGTAAAAATTGCAAATTGTTCGGGTTGGTTGCAATTTGCTGTAGCAATGATGTAGCCGATTAATATTGCAATATTGTGTGACAATATTGCAATGTTGCCGGCAACGGAACACCGGAATTGACTGTAAAATTTGTTTCCTCCGCACCTGCGAACACGGCCGAAGGCTGTAACACATTGTTTTGGTCATGTGTGTTTCCACATTTCGTATTCGTATTTCCACAACATAAATAACTAGTCGTTTTATAATTTATTCCTATATTTCTAAAATATTTATTACTTCAAGTTATTAATATGTTTGTTATCATCATTAGCATCGCTATCATCAACATCATCATCACTGTCTACAGGTAACTTCTCGTACTCATTGACATGTTTTGAAAATTTAAGATAACACAGAAATATGGCGAACATAATGGCAGTCATACCAGCATAAAGGATAAGTGTGCTGCGTACTCCAATTGCGTGAAAAAGTAATCCAAAAAACGTTGCACCGCAGTCCACTCCAAGCATAAAAAACATCGATTCAAATCCTGAAAATAGAAAAAGGTAGTCGTCAGATAGTCTTAGTTGTATATTGCACAAACTTGAACGCAAATAAGATTTTTTCCGACCACTTGCTAACGTCATACTTTTCCTGCGTCCATGAAAAACAGCGATAAACTGCGATATTTATATCTTGTATACTTAAAAATAAAGTTTCAAATTTGTTCATAGGAACGACGCTTCAAGGTTCGTTTACTTTTCTTTAAGGAGGCTTGGGAAAAACTTGGTTGACAGTTTAAACGGACAGACAGACAGACAGTCAGACAGCAGACAGTCCCCGCTCATTTTCGTAGAATACACCAACGACTAAACATTGTACCACTTACTTTCAGCTAAACGAATGAATATATGACTGTTTTGTGCTAGAAATACAAATGAAAAAGGTCCTAAAAGACAAATTCGCTCAACTCAGAAGCGGCTGTATAAAATCAAATCAAAAGCGGTGTTTCCACTATAACAACTGTATAGTTCCATTTTTCATTCGTATTCATTGCAAATGAATTAGAAATGTATTGCCTGTTGCGGAATGCGAAAACAACGAAATTATTTTGTTGTTTTTTTATCCAAACGTTTAATTATAAAATATCTTCAACATTTCTACAAATTCAGTTATTCTTTTATTTTTGAGGCAGTGATAAAGCCATTTAAAAGTTGTAGTAGATTAACTTTGAATATAACAGTAATTAATATATATAACAGTAAACTAGAAGTTACTAACGCAAGGAATTGCTGCCTCGCGGCCAAAACTTTGGGTTAGGTTGTTCAAAATCTGTATATATCCGTGGATAATTCAAAACTAAATAACACTATAATGGAAACACATGTACAGCACTATTATAATTTTTAAACAATGAAAATTGTATTTTATTGTAAGAATCGCGTGCATATATGTTACAACAATATTCTAATTATCTAAAATTAAGAAAACAGTTCTCTGTAATGAAACAGGTAATTTTCTGAGCACTCCAAACAATAGTAGCTAATAAAAATTAAGAAATTATGGGTCATTCCACGGCTTATTTCTCCGACAATATATGTATAATGTGACCCGCAGGGCTATCTCCACACGTTTAGCTACTGTATTTGTTATGCGATTTGTTATGCGAAGGATAATGTCACTAATATTCTTAGACACAAAGTCAAGTGTGGTCACTTCTAGAGTAATAACCTGGAATGTCAATGACTCACAGTTAATAACAGTATTAATAGTGGATAAATATAATGCACAAGAGCCAAGGACTGTTAATACTATTAACAATGGAAATATAACATTATGTATACCATATCAACACTATTATCAGTTATTCTTTTATTTTTGAGGCAGTGATAAAGCCATTTAAAAGTTGTAGTAGATTAACTTTGAATATAACAGTAATTAATATATATAACAGTAAACTAGAAGTTACTAACGCAAGGAAATTGCTGCCTCGCGGCCAAAACTTTGGGTTAGGTTGTTCAAAATCTGTTCATAATCCGTGGATAATTCAAAACTAAATAACACTATAATGGAAACATAATACTATTATAATTTTAAACAATGAAAATCGTATTTTATTGTAAGAATCGCGTGCATATATGTTACAACAATATTCTAATTATCTAAAATTAAGAAAACAGTTCTCTGTAATGAAACAGGTAATTTTCTGAGCACTCCAAACAATAGTAGCTAATAAAAATTAAGAAATTATGGGTCATTCCACGGCTTATTTCTCCGACAATATATGTATAATGTGACCCGCAGGGCTATCTCCACACGTTTAGCTACTGTATTTGTTATGCGATTTGTTATGCGAAGGATAATGTCACTAATATTCTTAGACACAAAGTCAAGTGTGGTCACTTCTAGAGTAATAACCTGGAATGTCAATGACTCACAGTTAATAACAGTATTAATAGTGGATAAATATAATGCACAAGAGCCAAGGACTGTTAATACTATTAACAATGGAAATATAACATTATGTATACCATATCAACACTATTATCAGTTATTCTTTTATTTTTGAGGCAGTGATAAAGCCATTTAAAAGTTGTAGTAGATTAACTTTGAATATAACAGTAATTAATATATATAACAGTAAACTAGAAGTTACTAACGCAAGGAATTGCTGCCTCGCGGCCAAAACTTTGGGTTAGGTTGTTCAAAATCTGTATATATCCGTGGATAATTCAAAACTAAATAACACTATAATGGAAACACATGTACAGCACTATTATAATTTTTAAACAATGAAAATTGTATTTTATTGTAAGAATCGCGTGCATATATGTTACAACAATATTCTAATTATCTAAAATTAAGAAAACAGTTCTCTGTAATGAAACAGGTAATTTTCTGAGCACTCCAAACAATAGTAGCTAATAAAAATTAAGAAATTATTGGTCATTCCACGGCTTATTTCTCCGACAATATATGTATAATGTGACCCGCAGGGCTATCTCCACACGTTTAGCTACTGTATTTGTTATGCGATTTGTTATGCGAAGGATAATGTCACTAATATTCTTAGACACAAAGTCAAGTGTGGTCACTTCTAGAGTAATAACCTGGAATGTCCATGACTCACAGTTAATAACAGTATTAATAGTGGATAAATATAATGCACAAGAGCCAAGGACTGTTAATACTATTAACAATGGAAATATAACATTATGTATACCATATCAACACTATTATACAGGTGTCCCAAAAAATCCGAAAAACCATTGAAATAACGTATTGTTAAAATTTGAATGCCCTAGCACTAAGCCCAACGAAAAGTGCCAAAGATGCGTAAAGTATTAACAAGGGTGAATATATTAAACATGGAGTTATTAAGAAATTAAAATATCTTTGTAAAGCACACGATTTTCTGCTTTTGGGAATTGAAAAGTGCTCCTCAAACGGGTTTTTTATGCATAAAATTTACTTACGTCAAGCTTTGATGCACGTGTGGGTTCAGCAGAGTGCTGAGGCATTCAAATTCTAACAATACATTTATTTCAATAGTTTTCGGGGTTTTTGGGACACCCTATATACATATACATAACACTATTAATAATGAAGCAGATGCGTAACACTATTATAATTATATCCTGTCTGTCTGTCTGTATAATGTTTTTTTTACAAAAAACTGTTGGGTTTGTGGCGGTTGCCATTCTTTATTATATTCAATTTGAGCACATAAGTTTCTTATAGCTTTATTTTACACGACAGACAGAATACAACTCACGCTTTTACAATGAATATACACTATTTACATAAGTTACGCTTTACGGTGATTGGTCAGATATTTACCAAATATAGTCATGAGTCTCTTGCTCTTTATCTATATGTAACTTAATATACCAATTACTAATAACATTACAACTAACAATTGTTTCTACTTTAATAACATAAATTACGTAATACATAAGAGCACAACTTAACACCCCCCCTTGCTCGCAATGTCCTAACTTCGCCTACTTTACTCCTACTTCACAACTAATTACAGATAAAATATTTGAACTTATCCATCCTAACTTTACTTACCGGTTTTGTGAATATGTCCGCTAAATTATCCTCGCTTGCGATATACCTTAAGCTTATTGCGCCTTGCTGCGCTTCGCTCCTTATAAAATGGTATTTTATGTCAATATGCTTGGACCGCTTATGGAATGCTGGATTCTTTGCTAACTTGATCGCGCCTTGGTTATCAGCATTAATCAACACCTTATTACTTACCTGTAATATCCCTAAATCAATACACAACTGCTTTAAAAACTTACCTTCTTGCACAGTTTCAGCCAGTGCGATATATTCGGCTTCACAAGTGGACAGCGCAACTGTCTGCTGTTTCTTACTTTTCCAGGACACCAAAGGTCCTGATTCTGACAGTTGAAAACAATAACCTGAAATACTCTTTCTATCACTAACACAACCTCCCCAATCAGAGTCACTAAAACCTATCAACTCCAAAGGTTGTTTCATTTTTCTGAACTTTAAACTTAAAACAGACGTTCCTTTCAAGTACCTAAGAACATGCTTTGCTGCATTTAAAGCTGCTGCCGTAGGTTTTGACATATGTTGAGATAACTTTGTCACAATGTGGCACAAATCTGGCCTTGTACCTGTCATGACATAAATAAGGCTTCCAACAATCTGCCTATAGGAGTTGGGATCCTCTAAGACAGGTGATTCCATATCAATAACCTTGTCAAATCCAAGAACAGATGGGGTTGTCTTAGGTTTACAATTATTCATTCCAAATTTTTCTAACACCTTTTCAATATAGCGAGTTTGGTTCATCTCTATCATACCATCAGAACATTTGAACTCAGTGCCCAAGAACCAATGTAAGACTCCTAAATCCTTCATCTTAAACCTTTCACTTAAATTTCCCTTCACCGTTTGTAACAAATCAGAGTTACTTGCAGAAATAAGTAAATCATCTACCCAAATAATCAAGATAATGCACTTACTGGCATCACCATCAACAAACTTATGGTAGACACAAGGGTCAGCCTGGGATTGCATAAACCCTTCCTTCACCAAGTAGTTATGAAGTGTTGCATTCCAGTTCCTACCACTCTGTTTGAGACCGTACAGAGACTTGTTGAGTTTGCAAACAAGTTTCTTACCATTTCCCCCCACTTTTTCATAGCCCTTAGGTTGTTCAACAAAGATGTCACAATCAATGGGGGCATTTAGATATGCTGCCTTAACATCCATCTGATGGACAATCATATCGTTTTGCACCGCGTGCTGCATTAATACTCGAATTGAGCTCATCCGAGCTGTTGGTGCAAATGTTTCATGGTAGTCCACACCTGGGACTTGGGAATAGCCTTTCGCTACGTACCTAGCCTTATATGTCTCTTCGTCGTTAGGACCTGATTTAATTGTGTACACCCATTTTCCACCTACTATCTCGCGGTTGGGTGGAACCATGGTAAGTGTAAATGTTTCATTACTTACCAGAGAGTCAAATTCTTCATCCATTGCCTTTTTCCACCTAGCTGAATCTGGTGAATTTACTGCTTGTGAATAACAAGCTGGGATGTCATTCATCCTATAGCAATAATCTATTGCAACATTAGCGCTACTATCAGTGATACTTTCTACAACATACTCACTTAGGTAAGCGGGTTTATTGTGAGTCCTGGTAGGGTACCTTACTCTACTTACTTCACCCTCTACTGGTGGAATAGCTGGTTCAATATTCTCATCAGCTCCAGTTTGTTGCTCACCGTAAGAAGTATTGCGGGGAAGTGAGACAACCTCTTCGTCAATTTGACGGTTCTCGTTATCAAATTCAGTTGAATCAAAGAATTTAACACATCTCACTCGTTCAACTTTCATGCTTTCTGGATAGTACACCAAATATGCAGGGCTATTTTTGTCATACCCTACAAAAATCCCCTCCTTACTTCTAGGTTCAAGCTTCTTAGAACCTTGCACATATGCATAGCATACTGCACCAAATACGTGCATATTATTCAGATTTGGCTTTATGCCAGTTAAGGCTTCATATGGGGTTTTGCCCAATCTGTCATTGAAGCACCTATTCCTTATATATGCTGAAGCCATCACAGCATATGTCCATAACATTTTGGGTAACTTGGCTTCTAACAACAAACACCTTGCCATATTAAATAAGCTAAGCCAAGCTCTTTCTGCTGTGCCATTTTGATGGGGTGAATATGGGGCACACGTTTCATGTTTAATTGTGTTCTCTCGGAGTAGAGACTTAAACTTTTGCCCAATAAATTCCCCACCATTATCACTTCTGATACATTTCACTTTACCAAGAGGGGCAATATCTGCTAAAAATTGTTTAGTAGCTTCGACTGTATCAGATTTATGCTTTAAAAAATATATCATGATAACACCAGAGTAATCATCCACAAAAGACAATGCATAATTGAAACCATCCTTACCACCTGGACTAATTGGTCCAGCTAAATCTGAATGAACTAAATCAAATGGGGCATTGGCTCTCTTATCAGGTGTCCTATTTCTCGACTGGGTCATCTTACCTTGTGTGCATGTTTTACATTCCACTTCCTTATGACTAGTGATCTTCATTCCATCTACAACATTTTCAAGCTTACGAATATCTGAAAAATTACAGTGCCCTAGAATTCTATGCCACTCTAAAATTGTACCCGCATTATTCTTGGAAGATGAAATACCGTTTAGGTAATATAAACGACCTACCTGTTCAATATTAAAAACTGCACCATCCGAGCTCTTAAAACTCTTGTTATGCTTATCTAGGCTTATGCTTGCGCCCTCTTCTATTGCTGCATTGACTGAAAAGATATCCTGCTGATACGATGGGACATAAAGCGCATTATTTAAAATTAGATCATGAGAACTTCCGTTTACGTCATATAGCTTAACCTTCGCAACGCCCTTACCTGTCACAACCTTAGCCTTACTGCCATCTGCGAGCTCTATAATGTGCGCATTTGGGTCAAAATCTTCATCAAAACTTATAAACTTAGATTTATCATTTACAATATGGCTAGTAGCGCCAGTATCTACTAAAAGATTGTTACTATAACTCTTACCACAGGCACTACTGTCACTGACTTTAAATGTAAACGTATGCTCACTGTTCTCAGTCTTCGTTCTTCCTTGATCTTCGGCTTTCTTCGCAGAATCGTTTCTCCCCATATTTGATCGGCATTCCTTCGTATCATGCGTTTTGTTTCTACAACGACTGCACCACTTTCCGTTTCCGTTCTTTCCCGACTTCGACCAACATTCAGACTTTTTGTGTCCCTTCTTCCCGCACTTGAAACAAACTCCGTCAAATCTCTCGCCGTTCTTCATGGCCATAATATTTTCTCCCGTCTCGCTGTTACCGTTTCTACTTTTCTCGCTCTCTTCGTAGCTACGCAGTGCGACTTTAAACTCTGCAAATGTCATTTGCTTGTCTCGTTGGACAACTATCGCCGAGAATGTCTTAAAGTTACTTGGTAATCCTTTTAGCACCATCGCGATCAATAACGCGTCGCTTACAGCTTCATCTGCGTTTCTCAATGCTGTCGCAGCCGTTTCAGCCCGTATGACATAATCAACGATACTCTCACTGTCCGTTTTCTTGAGCGTCGTCAGTTCTGTGTATAGTGAGATAACTCGAGGCTTGCTCTTTCCTTGGTAGTGCTGTCGCAATATCTCCAATGCTCTCTGCCCGTCGTCTTTTGCTTCGCGTATAACTAGCGCCAAACTTCTGTCGTCTAGGCATTGTACCAACTCCGCGAAAGCATCTCCGTTCCTCGACGCATCGGGTTCTTTATCACCTGGCACAAATACATCGTGTAATTTTTGTAGCCTTATTTGCGCCAGAAACTTTACTTCCCATAGTTCATATTTACTTTCATCGCCGTTAAATAGTAGTCCCCTTCTGGGCCCATAACCTGTTGGGTTTGTGGCGGTTGCCATTCTTTATTATATTCAATTTGAGCACATAAGTTTCTTATAGCTTTATTTTACACGACAGACGGAATACAACTCACGCTTTTACAATGAATATACACTATTTACATAAGTTACGCTTTACGGTGATTGGTCAGATATTTACCAAATATAGTCATGAGTCTCTTGCTCTTTATCTATATGTAACTTAATATACCAATTACTAATAACATTACAACTAACAATTGTTTCTACTTTAATAACATAAATTACGTAATACATAAGAGCACAACTTAACAAAAACTGTCAAAAGCTACATATCTTGTAAGCAGGTGAACTTATTAATGATCTTATGACACTATACAAGGCTATACAACACTATCCAATGTTAAGTTATACAAGACTATATAGAACACCATATAAGGCTATACGAGACTATACGACACTATACAGCGTTATACAAGACTATACGACACTATACAACACTATAATACGTTATACAAAACTATACAACAATATATAAGGTTATACGACACTATACAACACTATATACAACGTTATACAAGACTATCAAAATTACGACACTATATATACAGGGTGTATCAATAAAAACGCAACCTCGGAATTTCCTAAGAAATCACTTTGCAATTCTTAAGCATAAAAGATTTTAGGCCCCTAGGAATTGAAATCGAATTGCTAATAGATCATATTACTGTTGTTGTGCATTAAATAAATGCATACATTTTGCTTTATGCACTCGCGTGTGCAGTAATTTTGACAGTTATGCTATTTTAAATTCCCAGGCGCCTTAAATCTTTTGTCTTTAAAACAATGTCGATTTCTTGGGAAATTCCGAGGTTGCGCTTTTTTTGATACACCCTGTATATACAAGAGTGTACATGACACAGCCTAGTCCCAGTCGTTCTGAAGCAAGAGCGAGAAAAAAGTGGATGTAGTACGAGCTGGGACCTAGGTGTGACGTCACCGCTAAAGGTGCTTCAGAACGCCTAGCAGATTTCAGTATTTTTAATATGGCGGGAAAGTTATATATACAAATAACTTTGTAAATATGACAAATGTCGACAATGTGATCATGTTCCATGTCTACATAACCAAATTTAAACTGTATTTTAAATGTGCTCAATTAAAAAGATTTATATACAAATTTACGATACTAAGTCTGTGCAATGGTCGTATAATCGTTGATGTTATTTATATACTCGCAAGTTGTGATCAACACTAGATCGACCATACTGGTATACACAACTACGCTTTATACTTGACAGGTTTAAGTAGCTGAGGAGATTGGAAATATTTGCCTGACATGACTGTGTTGTCGAAACATTTTTAGTCGAAGATTCGGCATAATTTTCAAGCTTCTAGATAGCAGTTAATATGGCTTTATATTTTAGCATAGATTAAGGAATGAATAGATGGCTCACTCCTTTGATGTTTTTGACGCTGCCGGCGCCCACGCATGTTCTTGCCAGAGTATTATTATTATTATTAATGTTAAACACTCCCAGAAGGGTTTTTCAGTGTTCAATACAGAAGTTATAAAAAGTAATTACTTAATTAAATTATATTCTAAAAACTATATAATATACTATTAACACCAAAATATATAATATCAAGCTAGTTATATTTAAGGTAGAATACTTATTAATACTATTTAATTTAAAATTTAGTCAGTAAAAGATGTAATTCAGTTCTGTTCATCGAGAAATTGTTGAACCAAATAACTTCGTAGCCCGCTTTTAAAACGTTCCAAATTAAGATTATGGTCTTTTAGCCATTCTGGCAAACTGTTCCATAAACAAGAAGCTCGGTAGCGAAAAGTACGTTGCCCGGTCGCTGTTCTATATAAAGGTATTTCCAATAATTCGCTAGATCTTGTGTTCAAATTATGTAATTGTGATCTTGTTTGGAACATACGACATAAATATGATGGGGCCATACCATTAACACATTTATAAGCCATTACTGTATCTCGGAATCGCAACATATAATTGACTGGTAACCAGTTAAGCTGTTTTAAAGATGGAGTGATATGGTCGAATTTTTTTGTGCCCGTGACAATACGTGCTGCGAAATTCTGAACTTATTGCAATTTTGCAATGTTTTTCTTCGATGAATTAGACCATATGGTTGAACAGTAATAGAGTTTACTAAAAACCAACGCGTTTATTAAAAGAATTAACGTCTTCATATCAAAAAGGTGCCTTGCTCTATTAATTTGACACAGGCTACCGACACAAGAGGAAACCAGTTTTGTGACGTGTTCATCGTACGTCAAACCACTATCCAGTGTCACGCCTAGATCAGTGGCTGAGGTCACAGGAAACAGTTTTTTCCCCAATAGTAAAATATGGAAATCTGCCGGTATCTGTTTCAACATATAACGAGTTGCGAACACAAGTAATTTCGTCTTATTGGGATTAATAAGCAGACTATTTAGAGAACACCAAGAAACGACTCTCCGTAGATCTTCGTTAAGCTTAGCAGCCGCTGAGTTCACTTCATTGACGGAAAATGACAAAAGTAGCTTCGAGTCGTCGACGTAAGACTTCAAATTACCATTCTTTGGTACCATAGGTAAATCATTAATATATATGTTGAATAACATGGGACCGAGAATTGAGCCCTGCGGAACGCCATGATTGAGTGTGCGTGTTTCAGAGACAGTCGATCCAATGCGCACAACCTGCTGTCGTCCTGTCAAGTAACTCTTAAACCAACATAAAGCGTCATCGGACACTCCCAATACTTGGAGCTTTTTTAGAAGCAATACATGATCGATACTGTCAAATGCTTTAGAAAGGTCTAGTAGAATTACAGCTACGACCTCCTTGTCGTCCATAAACTTTAAGATCTTATCCAATATAAATAAATTCAATGTTTCAGTGGAGTGCAGCTTCCTGTTTCCACTTTGGTGTACGCTTAAGCATTTCTTCTGTTCCACATATGCGGTAAATTGTTCCAAAACTACACGCTCGCAGATCTTTGATGCAGCAAGTAGCAAGGAAATTGGCCGATTATTTTTAGCAATTTCGTGATCCCCTTCTTTTAATAGGGGAATAACTTCTGACAACTTCCAGGCGCTGGGAAACAAAGATTTTCTTAAAGAGCAGTTAACAATATCCGTAAGAGGTTGAAGAATGTATGGTAAGGCATCTTTGATCACTTTCACAGAAACTTTATCTGGTCCAGGGGACTTATTGGATGGAAAAGAACACACAATTTTACGAATCACGTCACAGGACACAGGGTGAAAATGAAACTTGTCAATTTCTGCACTAAATTTATGTGGTATCTCTGGATGAATCGATGTAAGACCATATGAAGTAATCAACGCTTTGGATTCTTCTGCCGCTTTTGCTCCGACTGAAGAAAAGTATTCATTAAATGTGACCCTCCTTGGGAAAACGTACGTTAACGGTTTTGAAAAACGTTCTGAAAAATCGTTCGTTACCCGTTCGTTATCCGTTTAAACGCTTTAGCGTTCCGTTGAAACGATTTTTGAGATCGTTCAAACGTCTGGCTGAACCGTTCAAACGGTTGGAGAAAAACGTTTGAAAAATGTTGCTAAATCGTTTCAACGTTTGGCTCAAAACGTTCAAATACGTTCACGAAGCCGTTTAAATTCCTTACAGAATATATTCACATTGTTTAAGCTGGCTTTGTAGGTGTTTATCTGAAACCGCTTTGTCTTGTAGGATTTACAAAAAACACTATTACAGTATTAGTGTTACGGACAGCAGTTAATATAGGAGTTCGCCACCCTTTGCAATATTAAATATTCTTGCAATTTTATTAGAGTAGCGTCGAAAATGTCGCGGTGAAATATTGCAACAATAAATTGAGCAAAAGGTTTCTCGAATGTTAAAAGATGGTTGAAAATATACATCCGCGAGCTTGCCGCTTCCGTCGTTGAATAGCGTCAGCTTAGCGTCAACTAAATTCGCTTAAGTTACTACATTATTATTCTGGCCGAATAACTGAAAGTCGTTATGTTACGCATACAATTGTATCAAAACAAGCATAAAACAGTTTCAATGTAGTCCACAGTAATAAATATTGATCTTAATTAATAATATACCTGGCTTGCCAGTTTCGAAAGCGGATTTTGCTGCGCTCCGAATGTAATAGTCTAGAACGATTGAAAGCGGCAGTAGATCGACCCCTAAATCAATTGAATTCTTGCAACTGAAGTTTGAATAATTAAAGTTTATTTTCCACTAGCGAAATTTGTCGTGCGAATCTTTTATCTTATAAGCTCTAGACTGGAATTATAATTAGAATTTTAATAAATTATTTTCAATTTTAGCAATAAAAATTCGATTCATGCGATGAAATTCGAAAAACAGGCTTAAGTTAAGTACGACACTGCACAAAATTTGCTAAATCATGTCACATTATCCGCCAAAGATTCGACTTAATTTTTCGCATAATACATTAGCAACAACGAAATAACATAAAATTTCCAACCTAGTGTACTATATACCTATGTAGCCGCATCATGGACGGCATTTCTGGAAAGTCCAGTAGTTTGCTATACATGAACAAACGAAAATTATAAAATCCATGGCGTTTTAATTAAGCCGAGTCAGATGGAGGAATAAAAATAGCTACGCACATGAATCTACGAATAGCAATAAATCGTTGCCCACCCTGTCCAGTGTCCAGTGGTCAACCGACAACTTTAAAAAGTGAATGGCCACCAAGCACCAGCTAGACTAGAACATAATCAGAAAACAATATATGCTGGCATAAACATGTCATTGAAATACCGGTAATTTGCTCTAAAACGGTTATTCCAGATTAAAATATTCACAATTCTATTTCTAATTGTAAGACCATACTCAGTTGCACACTAAACAAATCCATCGCAGTAAACCGCCACAGTAACTGTGTCTTATACGAATTCGTATACACGCCATAATAATAGAGACTCCTGCCCACTAACCTATACTGATAAGGCCAATGGTTCTGCCGTGAAACAAAATATTATGAAACACATTAATTAAAAAACAATTAACTAATAAAGTATTTTCACTTGTTCGTATATGATATGTTGAAACAGAGGCGGGATAAGTACAATATACAGTTAAACGTGAACAAGAATCACGTTTAATACTGTTGCACTTTTATTGTGTTTATATTAAGTGGAATATTCGGCATGAGCGCACACATCATATTAAAGGATCGTATTACATTACTAAATTCTAACAACAACATCTTGGAGAGTAGAGAGTTACGGCCCATAACATTTAAAACATTTAATGGGTCAATTTTACTCGAAACCTTACATTTAAAACATTTAATGGGTCAATTTTACTCGAAACCTTAGTGGCTTACTTTTTCGCTGGTTGTTATACTTTATTAAAATAATTCTGTACCTCATATTTTCCCAAATTTCGCTAATTCAAATGCTTATTAGGTGTCAAGATGACTCCAAATAGGACACAAGGTAGACGCCTTGAAAACCAATACGTACTATATCGTAAATTGCTGAAAAGTGTACAGCAACCACGCTACTACAAAACAGACACGTAGTTCCAAGATTATAATTTACCTTCGCTCCATTTTCATCCACAAGTCATCAAATTTAAATGTGTGAATAAATATAAATCATAAATTTTAACTCCTCTTTACCGGCATATTGGTTGTCTCGCGACCAAGCCGTGATTTGTAACTGAAAAGTGAACAGTGAACAGCTAACACGTCGATAGCATATAATCTACTTCGTAGATTCAATAACTGTGCATGTTGCCCGACGGCAAATTAAATACATTGATAACTCAACTTACTTTGACGGAAATCGGCATACTGTATATCAACACCTAACTGGCACCATAAACCTAATTAAAATAATTCCCTTGTAACTCAGGAGTAGAATTTTCTCTCAGAATATAATTTCTCTTACTGGTGCTTGAATACAACTTTAATTTTTCATATGGAGTTTAAAACCAGGAAAATAGATTTTGATACCAAATGAACAGCGACTAAATGAACAAAATCAAAGCTTTTGCAATAAACAGTTATTAGGCTATTAATAAAACTTTCCTAGTCTAAGGCAGCAAAACTGAAAAGTTTATTCGTGCATATACTGATGTTATAAGTATAATGTAAACTGCACGAAACCTTTGCTTCGAATCCAATAATAATATGTTATTTTACATCAAAAGCTATATTAATACTTGAAAGTACTTACAGTCTTGTGAATCACTGAGTGTCCACCGCAATTACCGCATCAGGTAGTCGGCGTCTCGGCGAATAGTTGCGATTTCCGAATGGTGTTGTGTATAAATTCAGAATTGTAACGGAAAGTGCCTCGTACGGCCATGGTTTTTGAGTACGATTTGCGCCGTTTCCGTTTCGATAAACCATTATAATGTGAATATGTGATACTATATAGTATATCATACATGCATGCCACTCCATTTTACTCAACTCAACTATAATTAAAATGAGAAAGCCGCAGAAGTGCTGACGTCTCTTCAGTCATTGGAAAATACTCCAGCTGCGTGAAATTCAACTCTCTCAAAAGCATAATTAAATTAACATGTATAATATTATCAAGCTATTCTTATGCAAGTTGACATCAATGTCAAGTGAAATATTAGCTTGCAAATTTCAAATTGCGCCAATAGATAGAGTGTATACCTGCGTGCGACTGTAAGTTCGATAGTTGAAAAGACGAAGATACGTTACTTGGGAAGACGAAGATACATTATGTATTCTTTTACTAAAACGGACGACATCAGAAGTGAGAAGACGTCGTAAGGTTAGCGTAGTCCTGGTGGTCAACTACTTATGCCGATTCAATAATCATTATTAATTTCTGATTTCTTTAAATAAAATAAAATAGAAGACCACCAGGAAAGGTTGTGTATATTAAGGTGTTCCAAGCTATTTTTGCATTTCCCAAAATAAATAGGGGAAAACAGCCAGTCCAGTGTGGAATGACTGTATCGCGCGGCGGAGATATCGACCGCGCAATTTTAACACTTTCTATATTTACAATACTATTAAATTTTCAAAATCTCAGGCGCGGAATTTCCAAACGTTCCAGTCAGGAACAGCCTTATATATATAGTTGTTTATGCTATAAAGACGTTTTAAATAGCGATGTTGTGATTGCGCAAAACATAGCTAATAGGAAATTGGTCGATAAAGTCTTCTTGATTAGGCTGATATAAAAAGATGTAGCTACTATATAAACTACCACACGATATTTGGAAGAAAGTAGGTGAATAAAAGATTTACAAGCAAATATATATAACATGTAAATTAAGGTATCGGCTTACTTATAAAACGAACTTTAACGAAGCCAAATACTTCGTGCTTATAATCATAGGATATGTGAGCGTCTTTTTGTTCGTGCATGTAGGCTATGTAGCACTACATGAATGATAAGTGAGTTAGCGTGATATAATGACTTTAAATTCACAGAATTTTGTGCATTTCAAGGAAGTACATGTTTATGGAGTACATTTTAAGGCGAGCATCAAATGTTTCAGTATACCAATATTCATTATTCTGCTTTCTGCACTCTGCAATATTTCAGTATACCAATATATCGTCATTATTCTGCTTTCTGCACTCTGCAATATACCTTAATTGCTGCGTGCATGCTGTGTTTATTTGGTGTTCAAACTGTTTATAGTTGGTTTATATACCTTTACATCTTGACCAGTTGACCTTTTACTTTAACAGATATAGGCCTATCGCTATTAAATCCGTTGTGACTGCATCTTTCCCTAATATTCCGGAGTTAACTAATATATGAATTATGGAAAATATTAGTAACAATAATTTAACTCAGCATGCTCTGAGCATTTTAGATCTCAGTGCCGTGTTTCACAGGCATTAATATAGAGGAAATTACCAATACGCTATAATGGACACCCGATTTTTGATACTGAGCCATTTACTATAATTGAGACAATATAGCACTCGCGACAGGTTCCATCAACACAGATAATGGTTCTAGTTCTTGTTTCGTATAGCTACAGGTACTATACGTTTAGTTTTAGGCCTTATAAATATAACAGATTGCGTATATATAGTCGCGTTTACAGTAGAGACCTTACTTAAGTCACGGGCTTAAGTCTCATGTATATCAGCTTTGCCGTGTTATGCAAAAACACCGCCGCGTGTCTCCGGCTTTAGCGTCTTTTAATTTGTTGGTACGGAAATCGATAAATCTTTTGAAACGATGAAACGTTTGAAACGATGAAACGTTTATAAACACCAAAGTGATCTATTTTTTTTGTGCTTATACGCATGCTTTTGGATAAATGTGCGTTGGTTAATTCTGGATCAGTGTATAGCCTACTTGCCCGTTTTTGTATATTATTGTTCACTGCTTTATACCATTC